TTTCTTTCACTTAAAATAAGGTAAGAATCAGCCTGTGACTCAGAGAGTTATAGTATATTTGGATTATCAAAATATATACACAAAAATTTTTCTATTAATGTTTCATTACAAGACTAGCTTGTTTTTATTTTTCGTGATTCCCTAAAACCAAACATTGTGAGGTCTCAATAGTTCTCAGATCTCACTGCTAAGCACAATTATTTTCACAAATTTAGCAGTTCTTGAGCTGACCATTATGTCTCTACCTGAATTGCAGTTGTCAATATATTACTTTTTCAGTTAATGGTCCTTTTCTTCAAACAGCAGTACTGTATGTATTTAGGTACCAGTGTCACTTCCTCAGTCATTCCCCTCCCCATGTCAGAGTATATATTTACATGCGTGCCCAATAAAGGTAAGTGCATCTTGTGTTCATTCATTAAACATTTATTGAGGGTCTATTGTATGCCTAACAATACTTAGTACTGGGGATATAAAATGGAATAAACGAAAATCAAATTACTTATGGTTTGCTTTATGAAAGCCAGTATCAGATACATTTTATATTTTGCATATTCTCTGTTAACATTTATTAATGTTAATGCCTTTGCTTGACTGAATATTGTGAATGACAGCTTTTGTCTGGCCTAAGACTACAATTCGTAATAAAAACTTGGATTGAAAATTGCTATATTTAGGAGTTTACCAGTATTGGACAAGTAAGTACATTTTGCTTTGTCATAAAATTAGCCAGGTATGAGGGCTCATGCCTGTAATCCTAGCACTCTGGGAGGCCAAGGCAGGAGGGTTGCCTGAGGCCAGGATTTTTGAGACCAGCCTGAGCACAAGCGAGACCCAGTCTCTACAAAAAATTGAAAAATTAGCCAAGTGTGGTGATGTGTGCCTGTAGTCCCAGCTGCTCAGGAGGCTGAGGTGGGAGGATCGCTTGAGCCCAGCAGCTTGAGGTTGCTGTGAGCTATGATGACGACACTGCACTCTAGGCCTAGCAGTAGAGCGAGACCCTGTCTCAAAAAAATAAAATTAAATTAAAAAATAAAATTAAATGGTTAAAGGGAAAAAGAGAAGAAAGAGAATACTAAAGTGAGTCAAATTCACTTTCTTAGTTCTTGGAGAATTGTATTTTTCAAAAAACATCACTGTGTCACATATTTTGAATATGTTCTTAAATGGGAAGATGATAAATGCTGCCTCACTGTCTTCCAGTGTTTTGCCCTCCTAAAGCTTACATGCTAATGTATTTTAATCAGAGGTTAGCTATGGGGAGCTACGAGTGTTTGTTTTGCTGATTTATATATATATATATACAGCCTCCTTCCAAAAAGTGTAAAGTAACATATATTTTACTTTGATATATTCAAATCTTTCATTAGGAATTTTCACCTGTTCATGAACTTCAGAGTACTTCTCACCTAAACCTGTTTGTATTAATTTTGCTGAGGCGTGGGCTGAATCCTATGCATTGTGAGTTAGATACGTAGAAGAAAGGAATTTGGCTAGAAAATGGACTATTTCTTGAGAAATGAATCCTTAAAAGAATGTTAACCTCTAGAGGCAACGATAGAAGTGAAGAGGTTTGAGAATATGATAACTCACTTGGTTTTATAAATTACTTTAGACCTGTTTTTACAAAATTGTGAAGGATTTGAAGGGAACACTTAAAGTTCCAGTGATGTTCTGCCACATTTTATTGGGAAAAGGCTTGAAGTTCATCTACAAAAAATATTAAATGTCTGCTGCTATTACAAAAAAATCCTCCCAGATGTTAAAGAGTATCATCCCCAGTCTCTTCCCCAACTCTCCCCAAACACAGTTTTATATTGAGAAAGTAGAGAGTTCATTATCTTTAAAAAGCTATTTTAAATTAAGTATAAATGGTTAGCCATTAGTTTTTTGTTGAAGATTTTCTCATTTTAAATTTATCTTGTCTGACTCCTGCTGCTAGACTGCAGGGTCCCCAAGGGCAGCCTCTGTTTTCCTTGGCCCTATGGTACCTGGTGTAGTCCTTGACATAAGTCAATGAACGTGTGGTTTATGGGGTTAAGTGATAAGAGAAATCAAAGGACTGATATTTCTTCTTTTTATGGTAGTTGGTTACTTGTAAAACATGCAACAGAACAGTTAAACATCATGGTAAAAGTAGAAGCTTTCTGTCAGCATTGAAGGGCAAGCCTACCACTCCTACGAGTAAACTCAGCGTGAAGACACCAGAGGGAAAGACACTGAATTCTGCAAACCTAAGTCATGACGTGTCTGGTTCCAAAGGCAAGAGCCCAGGATTGATTTTCAGGTATCTTAATCCATTAACTTTATTTGAATTGCCAGTGTTAATTCAAGTGTTTCTTCTAATTTCCTTTGTTTAATACACACTCCCTAAATATGCCATACAGTCAGGACTTGGCCATTTTGCCTCCATACCCTTTTCTAATGTCATATAATTCTGTGTCTTCCATGCTTATCTCAATGCATATGACTTCACGGCATATTCCTCTACTTCCAGCCTCTCCCTGGCCTATTCCCAGCTGCCTGCTAAATATTAATATATCCACTTCAACCCCCTACATGTCCAAATCTTAGTTCTTCAAGTCCTCACAGCTAACCGCTTAGGCCTGCCATCCTTCTACGTTCCCTGTTCTATGAAGGAGCATGCCCTTCTGGACATTGACCTAGAATGGCAGGTCTATTCAAAAATCCCTCCTCCCAGAAGAACGGGATCCATTTGTACTCACCTTCAAATTGGTACTAACTGATCAACACTAGGTTGATCACATGGCAGAAATACTCTCTAGGGATTAGGGGGATTGGGGGGCAAATCTACAACTAAAGGACACGGGGAGCACTAAAGGGAGGGAAGGGCATGCCTTTAACCTGCATTTGGGTGAGGCAAAGACATAAAGTGTAACTATAATGTTTGTACCCTCACAAAACCCTGGAATCATAAATTTAAAAAAAAAAAAATCCCTCCTCCCTTTGGTCCTTGTCTCCAGTTTCTATCTGTTTTTCCAGGCTGTTTGCATCTGTTCTCCCTTTTCTCCCTAGTGCTGCTATCCTGGTTCAGGGCCTTATTCGTCTTTTGTCAGTACTACAGTTATTTCCTACTGGGTCTCCCTACTTCTAGTTTCAAACCCTTGTCTGATCATCTTTCTATCTAGAGCACAGCTCTGATTAGAAGCATTTAACACCTCACTCTGCAACATATGGCTCAAATACTCCAGTATGGCTTTCCAGCCCTCACTATCTGGCACCAATCTGCCTGCCTGTCTTATTTTGCCTTAATACATCCTATGTGCCAGCAAAACTGAGCCATTCACAGTATACTTCCTGCTCTAAGCCTTTGCTCCTGCTCTTTCCTGTATCAAAAATTCCTGAGAAAATCGGAATAGGGATTTGTGAAATGATACTAAGTCAACTATATTACTGGATACATTTTATTTTAGTAATTGTCAGTACTGTATTTACTATGACAGTAAAATTTAAATTTGATTCCATAGAAACTATGAAAGGAATTTTGGAACATTTTGTTACAAAAGAAAAACTGAGTCTGGTAGCCTCTTGAACATAAATTAACAAAATTCAGCAAGAACTAGATTATCTTTGCTTATTGAATTTAATTTTTTATTTTTGGCTTCAAGTTTTTAAAATTGGGTAAGAATTAAAATTTCAAGTCTAGTTATCTCTATATTCATGATTTAATTATTTTGATATTTGGTATGATAAGAATTCATCATAGAAGTTTTCATTTTATTGGATAAGTGTATCTAAAAGAAAATTTGGCTTTTTAAAATAATTTCGTTGCATTGAGAACAGACTACTTCTTAGATATATGCAGGAATGGGAAAGTTATTTCACATTTATCATATAGCTGAGGAGTCAAAAGAGATCAGTCTGACAAACCCCAAATAAGGGTGCATGGGGATGGAACACAATTGGAGGGAATGAAATACACACATATCAGATGGGGACCATTTATTCAGTGGATATTTTTAGAGCACCTGCTATGTGCCTGGCACTGTCAAAAAACACTGCAATATACAATTAGTAGTGAAAGGTGTCTGCCCTATGGAGCTTACATTCTAGTGGGGAAGACGCAATGGAAGGGTGCCTATGTGTAGGTTGAGATCCTTCACTTTTGAGTGGTCTTCAGCTGTGAAAAAGGATTATGCAGCCTTTGCCTGTATATGGCTATAATACAAAAGAGCAGAAAATGATTCTAGTAGTAATTGTCAACTCTGTTTAAATTGTCATTTGTCGGTATAAATAAATGTGGTTTTGTTTCTTTTCAGAACACCTACATCTGAACACTCAGCATCTACTGGCTCCTCAAATACTATGAGCAAAACAAAGAAACACTTCTCTCGACTAAAAATGTTGCTGAGTCAAAATGAATCCCAAAAGAATCCAAAGGTGGACTTCAGAAATTTCTTATCTTCTCTGAAGGGTGGACTTTGAAAATAAGAAATGCCTAATGCAATTTCTGAAACTAAAGTTAGTAAAACAACTTTTTAAACATTTATTCTTTGAACATATAGAGGTCTAAGAGCAAACTTTTCTTGGCATCCTTCAGTGTTTATGAAGGATGAAAATACTTCATTAGAATGAATAAGTGTGAAACCTGCCTGCCTCACAGGATGGTTGTGAGGATCAAAAAGTATATGAAAGGTCCTCGTAAATAGTAAAGCTATCTATGTACATTGAGTTGGTGGTATTTTCTCTTGCCTTAGCAGTTTTCATTATTTATGTCATTTTCTTTCAAAAAGAAATTGAGACCTTTATGAGAGAGTCTATTCACTCATGAAGGTTTCTTCCACGTGTGTCCTTATTTTCTCACAATCATCTGTGTAACTATATTAGTAAAATCTGAACATGATTCCTATTTTGTATGCAACAGTAAATATCTGGGTATAGATTATATATATATATATATAATATATATATATATTATATCCTGAGTATAGATTACTTAATATACTGAAATGTTCATTTTTACAACTTTCTATTGTTCCTATATTAATATTTTACCTTAAAGTGGCATTTTAATTTGCTCGGACGACTTATTTCTAGCTCTAAAAATTGTATCAAAACATAACGTACTAAATATATAATGGTTTCGTGTTCTTAAATCTTTTCTGGAACATAGATACAATTTCTTTAAATAAGCTAGAACTGTGACCTGTATTTTAAAAAGCTCTTTAGCAAAGGGAACCCCTGCACTGTTGGTGGTATTAATTAGTACAACCACCTTGGAAAACAGTATGGAAGCTCCTCAAAAAACTGAAAATAGAATTACCATATGATCCCACAATCCCACTAGTGGGTATATATCCAAATAAACTGAAATCAATATGTTGAAGAGACGTCTGCACTCCCATGTTCATTGTAGCATTATTCACAATAGCAAAGATATGAAAATAACAAAATGCCCATCAAAAGATAAATGGATTAATAAAATGTGTGTGTATATATATATATATGTGTGTGTATATATATATATATATACACACACACACACAA